GGAAGTTGTTTGACATTTTTATCTCCAAGTAACCTCTATATTACTTTTTCCCTATAGTCTTCTAAGATTCGTTTTGTGAATATATTGATCTACTTGATGGTGTCCAATCAGTTTTACATTCCATTTATAATTTTGTTTGACAGTTGCATTTTTGTATTGTATATTTTAGGGTATGCCACCTCACACCAGTTAATTGTGGTTTGATTAGTTTATAATTGTGTATGACAGTATTTAACTTTTTTTTTTTTTTTTTTTTTTTGAGACGGAGTCTCGCTCTGCCGCCCAGGCTGGAGTACAGTGGCCGGATCTCGGCTCACTGCAGGCTCCGCCTCCCGGGTTCACGCCATTCTCCTGCCTCAGCCTCCCGAGTAGCTGGGACTACAGGCGCCCGCCACCTCGCCCGGCTAGGTTTTTGTATTTTTTAGTAGAGACGGGGTTTCACCGTGTTAGCCAGGATGGTCTTGATCTCCTGACCTCGTGATTCGCCCATCTCGGCCTCCCAAAGTGCTGGGATTACAGGCTTGAGCCACCGCGCCCGGCCAACAGTATTTAACCCTTTATAATTTAAGACAGTATGAAGGAAAAATCAAATACGTATCAGCCATATGTCTATTGTCAATATAATTATCTCTTTTTTTGCCTGGATAAATGTTATCCCTGTACTTTTTTATGACTACTATATTTGTTGTGTAGATTTATTGTGGATGATTATTTAACCCTAAGTGAGTAGTCATAAAACTTTTTCTAATTTCAACACCTATCTGTGAATCTGTATTATTTTTGTGTGGGAGCAAATCTTTTTTATTTTTTATTTATTTATTTATTTTGAGATTAACTCTTGCTCTGTCACCAGGCTGGAGTTCAGTGGTGCAGTCTTGGTTCATGGTAACCTCTGCCTCCTGAGTTCAAGCTATTCCACTGCCTCAGCCTCCAGAGTAGCTGGAACTACAAGCGTGCACCACCACACCCAGCTAATTCTTTGTATTTTAGTAGAGATGGGGTTTCACCATGTTGGGCAGGATGGTCTTGATCTCCTGACCTCGTCATCCGCCACCTCGGCCTCCCAATGTACTGGGATTATAGATGTGAGCCGCTGCTCCCAACCGGGAGAAAATGTTAGATTTGAAGATAATTTTAAAACTATCACATATCTGAATCTATTCTAGGTGTTGTTCATTTTTACTTGTCAGAAACACATAACAAAATTTATAATACAGTATTATTAAATATTCATTTTGGTCATGTTAATTACATTGACATTATTATGCTACATATTGCTAGAATGTTTTTATCTCGCAAAGCCAAATCTCAATATACATTACACAACATGAATTTTTCTAATTTCTTGGCACTTCTCAAACACCACTCTATTTTCTGTTTCTGAGAGTGTGGCTACTTTATGTATTTTATACGGTCTCTGTCTCTTTGAGGCTGGCTCATTTCTTTTGCATAATGTCATTAACATTTATCTTTATAGTTACAATATTTTCCGGTTTTTGAAAACTGAGTGAAATTCCAGTATTTTCAAATTATACCTACTGAATGATTTTGGTGACAGAAATTTGCATTACTTCAAGAATGCCATGTGAAATTCCAAAAGCATTGCATTAAATTTGTCGACTGCATTGAGCAGTGTGGACATCTTCATAATATTAATTATTTCAGCCTTTCAACAACAGCATGTTAAAGAGTTTGTTGTTTAATTTGTATATATTTGTGAAATTTTCAGTTTTTTAATGGTTTTATACTCTCATTCTATTTTGATGATAGTACTTTTTTAAAATTCAGTTTTAAAAATTTTGTCAGGACTTCTTTTTTGACCTAAGAAGTAGTCTATCAAGGACAATGTTGTATGAGATATTGAGATGAGTGTATCCTGATACTGTTGAGGAGTGTTCTCTATACCTCTGTTAGGAATAATTGTTTTATACTGCTTTCAAGTCCTCTGTTTCTTTACTAATGTGTCTTGTTTCATTTTTATTATAGAATATGGGATATTGAAGTATCCTAATATATACTCTGTGATTCTTTAGTTTTGTCAATATTTGCTTTATATACTTTGAACCTTAATGTGAGATGTACACACACACAAATGTACATAAAAATTTGTCATAGGTTCCCAGTGAATGAATCTGTTATTACTTAATATCTTTCTTTGTAGCTTCGGAGTTTGGAGTTCAAGTGAATTTTATAAAATATGAGAGTTTTTGACTTAAGATATAGCTTGTGTATTATTTTGAGCTGTTCTACCATTTTGTTAATATTTTTATGGAACATCTACTTCTGTTTGGTGCTCTCAGGTTTTTTTTTTTGTCATTAAATCTGAAATGACTTGTAGAAAGGCAAGTTGGGTCTTCCTTTTAAAAATATGTTGTATAAATCTCTATTGAAAGTATGTCTCTTGATTGAAAAGTTATGTATGTGTGTGTATATATATATGTATAATTAAATAGACTAATGCTATTTTACTCTTTTATTTGATTCTTGTATCTTTGTTTCTCATTTCTTGTCTTTCTGGTCTTTGTGTCTTTTTAATTTCTGTATTAATATACTTTTACTTTCTTATTTTCTTTTGTGTATCTATACAGATATTTTCTTTGTGGTACCTTGTGGTTTACATAAAACTTCTGAAAGATACAACAATATACTTTAATCTTGTAAAAAATTAACTTCAGTTGCAAAGAAATATTCCTCCTCATTACATTTGCTCTCACTTGTTATTTATGTTGCTAATTATATCTCTTTATGTTGTAAATTCATTAACAGATGTTTATAAAAATTTCTATGCTTTTGTCTTTAAATTTTTAAGCAATAATTTAAAATGTTTTTTGCACCTTTATGATAATGTTATGGAATTCTATTTTTGTGTATGTGCATATCTTTCCCAGAATGATGTGTTCTTGTATAATTAGGCACTGTTTTCTTGCATCATGTTATTTTCAGTGAAAGGAACTCTTTTTATCATCTTTGATATGTAGGTCACATGCAGTGCCAATATACTTTCTCAGAATTTGGTTATTTTGGAAGGTTTTTTTCTTTTTATTTGGTAGAACAGTTTTGTTGTTGGTATAATTCTCCCTTGACAGATATTTTTTTCAGGACTTAGACTATAGCACATAGTTCCCTTCTGGCCTGCAAATTTTTTGTTGGCAAATTCACTGTTTATCTCATAAGACTATGCTTGTAAATGACACATCACTTTACTCTTGTAGCCCCCAAGATTTTCTTTTTGTCTGTGACTTTTGAAATTGTGTTCATATATATGTTTGTTATAAATATCTTTATGCATATCCTAGTTTGTTGAGCTTCTACATTTTTACATTGTTTTTTTCTTCCAGGATTTTTTTTTTTTTTTTGACCAAATCTTGCTCTGTCATCCAGGCTGGAGTGCAGTGGCATGATCTCGGCTCACTGCAACCTGTGCTTCCTGGGTTCAAGAAATTCTTCTGTCTCAGCCTCCCATGTAGCTGGGGTTACAGGTGCACACCACCATGTCTAGCTAATTTTTATAGTTTTAGTTGAGATGGGGTTTCACTATGTTGGTCAGGCTGGTCTCGAACTCCTGACCTCATGATCTGCCTGCCTCAGCTTCCCAAAGTGCTGAGATTACAGGCGTGAGCCACTGCACCTGGCCTCTTCTAGGATTTTTAGTTATTTCTTTTTGTACTTTTTACCTCTACAATTTTTTGATGTTTTAATGTTTTTGTTGTTCCATTTTTTATAGTTGTCTGTTTTCCTATTTCACTCACTATTATTTAATTTGAAATTAATTTATGCATCTTCATTTTTTATGGTTGCTTTCTGAACATTTTATAATTTTTGTATGGGGCTATGTTGTAATATTTTGTATGGATTGTATTCTTTGACTGAGATTTGGACATTTTAAAAGAGCTATCTGTCACAGTCTTTATGATGTAGCTTATTTTCTGGCATAGCCTGAAACCAATTGTTTTAGCTAGAGATTCTGGGAATCTCTCAAACATGTTCTTAGAATGTGTCTTGTCTGAAATTTTGTGTTCATTTTTTAGTTGAAGACATTTATTAGTGTTTCTTCTTAATGGCCAGTCGTCGTTTTCTACATATGTTTTCTCTCTGTAGTACTGCAGTCTGTCTACTGCTGTAGCATTTACCTTTGGTCTTAGCAGACTCAAACTGTCATTCTAAAGAATACCACTGTAGTTGTCTGTTCTCATGCTGCTAATAAAGACATACCGAAGACTGGGTAATTTAAAAAGAAAAAAGCTTTAGTGGACTCACCGTTCCATGTAAGTGGGGAGGCCTGACTATTGTGGCAGAAAATAAAGGAAAATCAAAGTGGCATCTTGCATGGTAGCAGACAGAGAAAGGGCATGTGCAGAGGAACTCTCCTTTATAAAAACTATCAGATCTTGTGAGACTTGTTAACTATCACAAGAACTGCATAGGAAATACCTGGCCCCATAATTCAATTACCTCCCACCAGGTTTCTCCCACAACTCAAGAGAATTATGGGAGCTGCAATTCAAAATGAGGTTAAAATGGGGACGCAGAACCAAACCGTATTAGCCACCACTTCCTTTAGTACTTAATGCCATGGGAGACAGAAACCAGTGTGTGAAAAGCCAGAAATAGACATGTATGTATCACTATTATTCTGGTTTTTTTTTTTTTTTGGAAAAAAAACAGGTGTTGGCAATTTACTTCTAAAGGCGCTATATTATGTTTGGGGAGCAGGAAGAGCTTTGTTGGATAAATGTTACAGGCTTTCCCTTCCATGTGACTCTGCGTTGTGCTCACCTAGGATACTGCACACAAGTAACTTATTTATAAATCTTTCACAAATTTATTTTGTTCAGTGTGTTTTTGTTGAATTTACATGTCTATGAAGGAATTTAGAGTCTGTGGTCCTTTTCTATGCCATCTTGCTTATGTAGTTTGTATAATTTTATAGTTTAGATATATAGAGTATACAAATCTTAGTGTAGCAAGTGGAGTAATTTGTTATTTTTATTTTTTTTCAGTTATGTGTTCTTATTTTGCCCAAGACCTTTGGCCAGAGCAGAACATAAAAAATTCATTTCAAAAAGTGATACTGAGAAGATATGGAAAATGTGGAGATGAGAATTTACTACTAAGAAAAGACTGTAAAAGTATGGATGATTGTAAAATGCACGAAAGAGTTTATGAGAAACTTAAATGTTTGACAGCTACCCAGAGCAAAACATTCCTGTGTTATAAATCTGTAAAAGTTGTTTATAAATTTTCAAATTCAAATAGATGTAAGACAGGACATCCTAAAAAGAAACCTTTTAAATGTAGCAAATGTGACAAATCATTTTGCATGCTTTTACATCTAATTCAACATAAAAGAATTCATACTAGAGTGAATTCCTACAAATGTGAAGAATGTGGCAAAGCCTTTAACCGGTCCTCATACCTTACTACACATAAGATAATTCATACTGGAGAGAAACCATACAAATGTGAAGAATGTGGCAAGGCTTTTAACCATCTATCAACCCTTAGTAAACATAACAGAATTCATAGTGGAGATAAACCCTACCAATGTGAAGAATGTGGAAAAGCTTTTAAGCAGTTATCAAACCTTAATAACCATAAGAGAATTCATACTGGAGAGAAACCCTACAAATGTGAAGAATGTGGAAAAGCTTTTAATCACTCCTCAACCCTTAGGAAACATAAGATAATCCATAGTGGAGAAAAACCCTACAAATGTGAAGAATGTGGCAAAGCTTTTAATCGCTTCTCAGTCCTTAGGAAACATAAGATAATCCACAGTGGAGAAAAACCCTACAAATGTGAAGAATGTGGCAAGGCTTTTAACCACCCATCAACGTGTCGTAAACACAAGAGAATTCATAGTGAAGATAAACCCTACAAATGTGAAGAATGTGGAAAAGCTTTTAAGCAGTTATCAAACCTTAATAACCATAAGAGAATTCATACTGGGGAGAAACCCTTCAAATGTGAAGAATGTGGCAAAGCTTTTAACCAGCTATCAACCCTTACTAAACATAAGAGAATTCATACTGGCGAGAAACCCTACAAATGTGAAGAATGTGGGAAAGCTTTTAAGCAGTCATCAACCCTTATCAAACATAAGAGAATTCATAGTGGAGAGAAACCCTTCAAATGTGAAGAATGTGGCAAAGGCCTTTGTGACTCCTCATCCTTTACTATATTTAAGAGAATTCATAGTGGAGGAAAATCCTACAAATGTGAAGAATGTGGCAAAGGCTTTTGCAACTCCTCATCCCTTACTACACATGAGGGAATTCATAGTGGGGAAAAACCCTACAAATGTGAAGAATGTGGCAAAACTTTTAACCACCCATCAACTCTTAGTAAACATAAGATAATTCATAGTGGAGATAAACCTTACAACTATGGAAAAGCTTTTAAGCAGTTATCAAACCTTAATAACCATAAGGGAATTCATACTGGAGAGAAACCCTTCAAATGTGAAGAATGTGGCAAAGCTTTTAAGCAGCTATTAACCCTCACTAAACATGAGAGAATTCATACTGGAGAGAAACCCTACAAATGTGAAGCATGTGGGAAAGCTTTTAAGCAGTCACCAACCCTTACCAAACATAAGAGGATTCATAGTGGAGAGAAACCCTTCAGAAGTGAAGAATGTGACAAAGCTTTTAACCAGTTTTCAAATCTTACCACACATAAGATTATTCATAATGGAGCGAAGTCCTTCAAATGTGAAGAATGTTGCAAAGCTTTTAACCAGTTTTATAAACTTACTGTACATAAGAGAATTCATAATGGAGAGAAACCCTACAAATGTGAAGAATGTGGAAAAGCTTTTAATCACTCCTCAATCCTTAGGAAACATAAGATAATCCATAGTGGGGAAAAACCCTACAAATGTGAAGAGTGTGGCAAAGCTTTTAATCGCTCATCAATCCTTAGGAAACATAAGGTAATCCACAGTGGAGAAAAACCCTACAAATGTGAAGAATGTGGCAAGGCTTTTAATCACCCATCAACCCTTAGTAAACATAAGAGAATTCATAGTGGAGATAAACCCTACAAATGTGAAGAATGTGGAAAAGCTTTCAAGCAGTTATCAAACCTTAATAGCCATAAGAGAATTCATACTGAAGAGAAGCCCTTCAAATGTGAAACATGTGGCAAAGCTTTTAACCAGCTATCAACCCTTACTAACCATAAGAGAATTCATACTGGAGAAAAACCCTACAAATGTGAAGAATGTGGGAAAGCTTTTAAGCAGTCATCAACCCTTATCAAACATAAGAGAATTCATAGTGGAGAGAAACCGTTCAAATGTGAAGAATGTGGCAAAGGCTTTTGTGGTTCCTCATCCCTTATGACACATAAGAGAATTCATAGTGGAGAGAAGCCCTTCAAATGTGAAGAATGTGGCAAAGGCCTTTGTGACTCCTCATCCCTTACGACACACAAGAGAATTCATAGTGGAGAGAAACCCTTCAAATGTAAAGAATGTGGCAAAGGCTTTTGTGACTCCTCATCCCTTACGACACATAAGAGAGTTCATAGTGGAGAAAAACCCTACAAATGTGAAGAATGTGGCAAAGGTTTTTGCAAGTCCTCATCCCTTACTACACATAAGGGAATTCATAGTCGGGAAAAACCCTACAAGTGTGAAGAATGTGGCAAAGCTTTTAACCACCTATTAACCCTTACTAGACATAAGATAATTCATAGTGGGGAGAACCCCTACAAAAGTGGAGAATGTGAGAAAGCTTTTAACCACCCGTCAACCCTTAGTAAAGTCAAACATGAAGAATTCATAGTGGAGATAAACCCTACAAATGTGAAGAATACCGGAAAGAAGTTTTAGCAGTTGTCAGCCTTAGTAATATAAGAGGATTCATACTGGAGAGAAGCCACTTCAAATGTGAAGAATGTGGAAAAGTTTCCAAGCAGTTGTCAGAGCCTTGTGTCATAAGAGGATTCTACAGCACTGAAGAGAAACCCTTCAAATGTAGAGAGAATGTGGCAAGCAACCAGCTATCGGCCTTACTGGGCATAAGATATTCATGATTGGGAGAAACCACAAATGTGAAGAATGTAGAAAGCTTTTAACCACCGTCAGCCCTTAGTAAACATAAAAGAATTCACGCCAAGTGGAGATAAACTACAAATGTGTGAAGAATGTGGAAAAAGTTTTAAGCAGTTGTCAAACCTTAGTAACCATAAGAGGATTCATACAGAAGAAACCCTTCCAAATGTGAAGAATGTATGAAAGCTTTTAACCACAGCTATCAACCTTACTAAGCATAAGAGAATTCATACTGAAGAGAGAAACCACAAATGTGAAGAATGTGGGAAAGCTTTTAAGCAGTCTTCAACCCTTACCAAACATAGAGAATTCATATTGGAGAAGAAACCCTTCAGGAAGTGAAGAATGTGGCAATGACTTTTGTGACTCCTCATCACTTTTTGCTACACATAAGAGAATTCATAGTGGAGAGAAACCCTTGGGGAAATGTGGAAGAATGTGGCAAAAACTTGTGACTCCTCATCCCTTACTACACATAAAAATTCATGGCCCAAGTGGATAAAACCTTTCAAATGTGAAGAGAATATGGCAAAGCTTTTAACCACCCATCAGCCCTTACTAAACATAACTCATAGTGGAAGTACACCACTTCAGATGAAGAGGATTCATACTGGAGAGAAACCCTTCAAATGTGAAGAATGTGGCAAAGCTTTTAACCAGCTATCAACCCTTACTAAGCATAAGAGAATTCATACTGAAGAGAAACCCTACAAATGTGAAGAATGTGGGAAAGCTTTTAAGCAGTCTTCAACCCTTACCAAACATAAGAGAATTCATAGTGGAGAGAAACCCTTCAGAAGTGAAGAATGTGGCAATGACTTTTGTGACTCCTCATCCTTTGCTACACATAAGAGAATTCATAGTGGAGAGAAACCCTTGAAATGTGAAGAATGTGGCAAAAGCTTGTGACTCCTCATCCCTTACTACACATAAGAGAATTCATAGTGGATAAAAACCTTTCAAATGTGAAGAATATGGCAAAGCTTTTAACCACCCATCAACCCTTACTAAACATAACTCATAGTGGAGATACACCCTTCGAATGTGAAGAATGTGGCAAAACTTTCAACCAGCCATCAAACTTTAGTATACATAAGAGCCTTCATACTGTAGAGAAGGCTTACAAATGTGAAGAATGTGGAAAATCTTATTAACTGTTTCTCAAACCTTACTAGACATAACATAATTCATACTGGAGAGCAACCCAACATATGGGAAGAATGTGGCAAAGCCTTTAATTGGTCCTCAATCCTTATTACACATAAGGCAATTCATACTGCAGAGAAACCCTACAAATGTGAACAGTAGGGAAAGGCTTTGGTGTATTCTTAGCCTTTACTTAACATAATTCATGCTGAAGAGAAACTCTATACAAATCTGAAGAATGTGGCAAAGGCTTTTGTGAATCCTCAGCCAGCCCTTGCTAAACATAAAATAACTCATACTGAAGCATGTAGGAAAGCTTTTTACCAGTACTCAACTCTTACTAACCATAAGCGACTTCACACTGAAGAGAAATCCTACACTTCTGATGAATGTGGAAAAGTTTTTAACTGGTCCTTAAACCTTACAAAACATGAGATAATGCATAATGAATGGAAACTCTACTAATGGTAGTGTGGCAAAGCCTTTAGTGTATTATTAACCTTTACTAAACATAAGGTAGTTCATACTGGAGAGAATTCCAACAAATATGAAAAATGTGATGAAGATTTTAACAAGTTCTCAACACTTATTACACACAATTCATACTGGAGAGAAACCCTACTAGCACGAAGAATGTGGCAAAGCCTTTTACGAGTCCTCAGTTCATAGCAGACATAAAATAATTTATATTGGAGAAAAACTCTATGAACCCAAAAGATGGGACAATGCTTTTAACAACACCTCAAACTTTTTTTTTTTTTTTTGATGGAGTCTCACTCTGTCACCCAGGCTGGAGTTCAGTAGCATGTTCTCAGCTCACTGCAAGCGCCGCTTCCCGAATTCATGCCGTTCTCCTGCCTCAGCCTCACGAGTAGCTGGGACTACAGGCGCCTGCCACCATGCCCGGCTAATTTTTTGCATTTTTTAGAGATGGGGTTTCACCATGTTAGCCAGGATGGTCTCTATCTCCTGACCTCATAATTCACCTGCCTTGGCTTCCCAAAGTCCTGAGATTGCAAGCATAAGCCACTGTACCCGGCTCACCTCAAACTTTTGGAAATATGTTCCCAGACCCCAGAAATGTGAAGAATATGTCAAAGGCTTTAAATGGTTGTCAGTCTTGATTGTAGGTAAGATACTTCATACTGTAGAAAACTACATGTGTGAAGAATGTGACAAAACTTTTAGTGCTCACATTTTATTGCACAAGAAAGCATTTATACTTGAGAAAAAAACTGTAGAATTATAAAGAATGTGGAAAAGCCATTGGTATCTGCTCATATCTTAACATCCAAGAACTCAATAAAAGCATTGTAAGTGTAATTACTGGCAAAATATCTTTCAGAAAATATAAACCGTTAAAGTGAAGAAGAGTATTCATTCTGAAGACAAACATTACAAATGTACAGGGGGTTGTAGTATGATTACTTGTGTCATAGATATTATTGTACAGATTTTGTATTAGAGGAAAGCCCTGAAACAGTTTCTCAAACCTTGTTCCACGTAAGGGAATTTATATTGGAGAAAAACCTAATAAATGTAATGATTTTGAATGAAGAATTGTTAAAAAATGACAGCTAAAAAAACACCGGAGTTGATAGTAAAATATATTTTTACAGATGCAGTAAATATGAAAAAGACGTTTACTTCAAAATTAGGTGTATGTCAACATCAGATATTTCACAGTTGAAATTTCAACTAAGGCACTGACCCTCCAGACATTACACTAAATCAGAGTGTTGAGTGTAGAAAATTACCCAAAACTAAAGATGTTAGGTAAATTATTTGCAAATAACTTTAAGAAAACAGAATTACAATTGCATTCAAAGTATACTATTTTCAATGAAAAAACTTAGTTTTTTTGGGGGGGGAATTAGTAATGATATAATTCATCTCACAAATTACTTCATGCTGTATCTTTTATTTTAGTGGTCATAATAAAAATCATAGAAAAATATAAATAATATCCATATATTTCTAAGTCCTGAATAAGTAGTTTTTCAAATTTGTTAAATATTTTTATTTGAACATGTGAACTCTGGCCGCAAACACATACAGACTTTGAGTGCTGATTCACATAAAGTTAAATACACACGTTAGTCTAATGATATGCCTTAATTGTAATAGAATCGTAGAGTGTGTTTGTGTGTGTATGAGCTTTACCTATTTTCAGAAAAAAAGCAATATTAGAACAAAACAAATTAATAAGGTGTCTAATTTACTAAACTAAAAACCTCAAGAATGCTGAATGCAAATCTGTTTAATTCATTAGTGTACACACTATTTTTTCTGTTACTTATAATTTGTTTTTTGTTTTATAGTATAAGATGTATTAATTGTGAACTGGTTAGTAATTTTCATAAAATTTTGTAGGGCACATGAATTAATTTT